ATGGAGTTCAGTTTTTTGTTGCCCAGGTACCTTTGAATATCAGGTGTGCACTGGAATGCAGTAATATATCTTTACAGAAAACTGCCACTTTCTCTCCTGGCATGGTAAATGCCAATAGCTCATCAGCAGGTATTTTTCCAGCTTCTTGTTTAAACTTATACAGACTTTATTCATGATTTTTTAATCTGTGCAAATTCATATAAACAACCCCCCTGTTATGACCACAACACGGTTGAATATATATGCCATATCTGGCTCTTACAGTCTGTCTTCCCTGTCTTTCATGAAGATCCATGAACTTTGAAAGAGGAAGGGTGACAAACACATGAAGCATGCTGAAATCACACATTCTCTCCTTGTTGTCTAAATGGGAGTGACTACGCTTGTTGTCATCCACTGCAAGTAGCTTCTCTTATGATAGTTGAGATCCACAGATACATACCACAGAGTCATTAAAATTATTTAGATAGCTGATCTTTAACAAGATAATACAAGGAAGTTCTCCTATAGGGTCTATAGCCATCTAGCCACCATTCTTGGCCAGTTTTATAGCACCAGATAACAATTTTTCCTCTTATATAGGGCCTTAATTACAATCAGAAGATGATTCATTGCTTCCACGATATCCTTGCTTTTATGTCACTAGTAGGCATATGTTGCCTAGACTTTGTCATTTTTACTTAAAGGATTCACAAAAAGATCAAATTTTGGTAAGTATGGTGATAGGGAGGAGTTTAGAAAAGAAAAACTGTAATAAGAATAAATTGTACAAAAAGTCTATTTTCAATTAAAAACAAATGAAAAAAAGCTAAAATTTAAGATTGCTTTTTTCATCTAATATCTATAATATCTTCCAGCAGAATGAAAGCTAGTCAATGGATAAGAATCTTCCAGGTCACTATTCATATTTGTTTACCATATTTTAGGCGCAAGCAAAAGATGTCTTCAGACACAAGGTCTTATGCTTAAATTCTGAGGGTAACCAAGAACAATGGCAATATTCTATGATATTTGGAGGTCTGTGGACCTAATTTTCCATTGATCAGAAAAAGGTAACCTGTCTAGAGCCTTGCAAGCTAGAAGAGCATATATTACTATGTGTCCAAATAGTTTCTGCCTGGCAAGGCACCTGGAGAAACAGGCCCTCACTTGGCAAGGACCACAATACAGTGTAGGAATCTGCAAAATTTGTGCAGGCTATAGATTCTTTTCTCTCTCAATATAATGGTCAGTGCTTGGGTTGATTTTTTAGTTTTGCTTTGTCAGGCACACATGCGACAGCTGAATTTTTTCCTGGAAATTCTGCTTCTTTGCAAATATTTCTCCCTACAAATTCAACAGAGGGGCTAATGTTTCTCAAATCTCTTATCTGGAATTACTAATTACAACTAATCCAGGGAGCTTTTCTGACTCAATAGAGATGGTTAGGTACAGATGAGATAACAACACTTGGAGCATTGACTATGCCTCAGTTCTGGAAAGGAGAGTAAGGCAAACATACACAGAATAGGAAAAAGGCCTTAGGAATACCTATTACACTAACCCATGTTTGTAAGTGCACTAGAAACAAGTCATGTAGAATCAGTATTAAGATCTAGTATATTCTGATGGGAATAATGCAATGTAACATGTAGGCTGATTAGATCCATCTTTACCATACATGGATGCTATATTGGTGGAAGAAGGATGATATAGTGGGATACGATAAGAGACCTTTATCAAAGTTTGTCTTTTACAGAGAGACTGAGACATGGGACCCTCTTGTAAGAAAGGGAACTATATAAAATATATCTTGCTGAGGTGATATAATTGTCTGTGTTTGCACATTGTCCTTAAATCATTATGGCCATGTCTATTATTTTTAACCTTGTAACCACAAGTAGTAGCCAGCTGACGTAAGTACTGCAAGAACATGATGCATCTGCCTTGATATTTAATTAAGCCTTCTAAAATGCTGAACACCATGTCTAGAATAAGGTTATGCAGCTCTGGGAATGTGTATTTGGGGAAGCATAAAGGAGAACGACGGTGGGGGGGTCTTTCATAACAATCTCGAAGTGTTTCTTAAATTGTGATGTATTTCTTAGAGTCAAAAATAAGAACCAATAATAAAAATGCTCATGTAAGCCTGGCAAGAAAAAAACCCTTTTTAAAGTATAAACAAAGATAGCCTGAGCTCTTTGGGGCTACGTGAGTGCAATCTACTCAGTGATCAGAAGTGTTCCTTGTGCTCAAGTCCCTTCCCCACCTCAGGATCTGAACCCAAGCTGAGGCTGGACACTGGCAGTAACCCATTCCTGATATGATTTTATTTGTATGTTCTTGTTGTTGTTGTTGTTTATTTGGTTGGTTTATTTTGGTGTCTAATTAGAATATGGTCCCCCTGTTATAGGGTATATCCATTTAAATTGTGTGTGTGTGTGTGTGTGTGATGCATATATTCAAGGAAGCTTCTGTAATAGTAAATTTCAACATGACAATTTTAGAAAATTTGTTAGAAGTCTATGGATAATTTTAGGAACACATTGCTTAGCAATTTTAATATTGTACTGAAGATAAATAATATACAATAAAGTGCTATCTACATGCTTGCTAGGTATATTGTACCATCTTGCTAATTGCTGTAATAATCTGGGCTAAGAAAACAATGAGAATGTTTTCACCAGATTTTATTTAGGAAAATCTATAGCATTGCATTTTTATGATCAAAGACTGATTCTACAGGAGGGTGATGCCAGCCTGGGTCCAATGGTCTAGTTTATAATAAATCAAGATGAGGAGATTGTGAAAAGCAAGCCAGGTTGTAGCATTGCTTCATGGTTTCTTTTTCATTTTCTGCTTCCAGGGTCCAGCATTTCAGTCCTCCACTGAATTCTTGTAGTGATAGAATATGACCTGAGATTTTTTTTAAGACAAAACAACCCTTTTTCTGCAAGTTGTTTTTGGCCATTGTATTTATCACAGCAACAGAAGACCTACTAGCATCATACAACTCACACAAACTTAATTATAATGTAACCAGTAGAACTGGAGATTTGCAAACTGTATTTAAACTGGATAGCCTAACCATATATCTAAAAAAAAGGTGTTTGTTCTATCATAGAATGTTAAAATCAACTGTCATCTTCAATATGTTTTGTTTTCCACGTAGTTTAATTAAAAGCAAACTAGAGTCCACAAGATTAAGATTTCACACTTATGACTTAGTATTTTTTGATAGAATAGTAACTAAACTGTGTTTAATTTTTCTAAATTCTTTTATTTGCATAATAGCGGCTAACTTGTGTTTTTTCTTCTAAACTACAGATTTATTTCAGGTATTTTTTCCAGAAATTTGATGTGAGTGTACATGTTGGAGCAAACCTATTAATTTACTAAGTAAGAATGCTGAGAAATGACATTAAAAATTATGTAATTAAAAAAATGTTTGGAGAACCTGCTCATGAAAAATATTTGCAAAAAAGGAAAGAATAAAATGCTAAAGTGTCTTTTTTCACCATTTGTATGTGTGTGTATATAAATATACATGTAGCAAACATCATATTTTTAAGTTGAGGTTGATATTTGAACATTGTTAATTACATTCCAAGCGTAATTTGTCATATTCCAAATATGACACATTGAACATTTTCTTTTTTCCTATAGAGTTGTCATTAATTATTTGTAGCAGAAAGACGGTAATTATATATGTTAATCTATTTAGTAATATAAGATGATCTTAATTATTTTTGTTGAAAAATACTTGCGTATGTCATGGTGCATGTTAAATGTCTAGTAAAGGACAGTTTCCTTGTTTTTTACCTTTAAAATACCTATTATTTATCTTGTGTGTTTATATAATAAACTGACCCTTTATATCATTTGTTTTCCTGTAAAATGAACTTTGAGTGTGTGTAATAATGTGTGTGGTATGTGATCATGAGTCCACACACATACATACACACATGCAAAGACTAGAGGAGACCATGTGCTGTTCTGCTCATTCGTCTCCACTTCCTTACCTGACCTGGGAATGGTGTCTGTACTAAACCTGGGGTCATGATGTCAGCCAACAATCCTCAGCAATCCTCCAAAGTGACAAAGCTATGTGGGCTCACATGACAGTGACTGGTTTTATACACGGGCTCTGTGAAATTAAAGTCAGGTTCTCATGATTTTGCTGTAGTAATCTTACCTGCTGAGCCATCTCCACAGTCATCGCATAATATCAACTATTACTTTTCTTGAAGGCTAATTATTTACTTGATATAAAATGAATGTCACATATGATACTTAGTGACAGAAAGATAATAGCCAGTGATGGAGGTTTAAATATTTTAATTGATGTTTTTATGTACACGTTTTAAAATGATATGTCATGTGATGTGAATAGAAGCAGTGAGAGAGAAGAGCATAGCTGAATAGTAAAATAGTCTACTTAAAATTCTCTCCTAAGCTGGGCAGTGGTGGCACAGGTCATTAATCACAGCACCCAGGGGGCAGAGACAGGTGGATATCTGTGATCTTAAGGCTAGACTGAGCTACAGAGAGAGTTCTTGGACAGCTTGAGCTAGGGCTTTTGCACAGAAAATATTGTTTTCAAAGAAAAAAAAAAGAAAGAAAAAACAGAGATGTAGTAATGTATAAATGTTTTAATGAATAGATCTGGAAAATTTCTTTAGCATACATGAAGAGAACTACTAACATCAATGCTCAATATGAAGGTCAAATATATATCACATATTATAAAATTTTTGTTTAAATATAACCAAAGGAAAAGCATAGAAAACAGAGTGGATAACACTTGCTGCCTAATCGTCATTCGTACATTAGTTATTTTTATATTCTCTCATGAAACTTCTGTGTTAGCAAGATCAAAACATAACAACTTAAAACTTCTCAAATCTCAAGTTTCATTAGATTGTTAAGCTTCTAGCTTGTTTACATATGTTAAATTTGTTTTGGCTGGAGGAAAGAATAATTGTTTTATAATTAAAATGCTGAATTTTCTCATATTACAGATGAATTCAAATTCTTCATGAAAAGACTACCCATGAATTATTTCCTCAACACATCAACTATAATGCATTTATGGACAATGGATTCTAATTTTCAGCGCAGCTATGAACTACTGGAGACCAGCATGAAACAGCTTTTCCTGAAGGCACATAGAATTGTCCACAAGCTCTTTAGCCTTAGCAAGCGGTGCCACAAACAGCCCCTCATCAGTCTGCCAAGACAGAGGTAAGATTGGAAGAGCAGGGCAACCCTGTTTCTGTTCTGACAGCACAGGTCTGTTTTTTCCCTGGGAGCAGATGTGCTGGTACACAGTGCTTAATGCTGTTTTTTCCTAATAGAGAGGACTCTCTTGTCTCAAGATAATGTATTTCAGCGGTTTCTAAGTAATAGTACAATGGGGAACACATACATTAATATTTCTTGGTTTTCTTTTCTTCTGTTACTTTAATCAAGCATTCATTCTATGTTATTTTTATGGCAGTCAGTTAATAAACCTATTCAAAAAAATACAATAGAAGACAAATCTCCATAGTTAAACGAGGAACATATGAAGTAGGTTAAGATACAAACAAGAATTTTTTCATATCTAATTTTCCAATAAAGCAATTAGGGGCTTGTGCTGCTTTTCAATTATTTGGAAATTCATAAATATAATCATATTATAATCTGTAATTTTAACTGAACAGGTTTCTAATGTTTAATATAAAAATAAAATACTTAAGTATTTATGTCTGAACATATTTGGAAAAACAGATTATAAGTTTATAATTTAAGACATTCTGATGGATTATTGAAATACTAAAATTGAACTTCCCACAGGGCAGGAAACCCTGAATGCTCTTAGGACTGGAGAGGGAGGAGGAGAGGGAGTGGGGGGAGTGGGAGGGTATTGGGAGGAGAGGAGGAAGTGGAAATTTTATAAATAAATAAATAAGTAAATTTAAAAATTAAATAAAAGTTGATTATAAAAAAGTTTATAATTTAAGACGTTCTGATGAATTATTAAAATAATAAAATTGATATTCATCTTTTTAAAGTCTGGTTAAACTAAACGCATCAAAAACAAAATATGGAAAACAAACCACATAATTTTACAGTATTTCTGTTATAAAAATGTTAACATTTTGAATTGATGCTTAAAACATTAAGGAGAGAAATTTATAGATATAGATATCTTACAATGTTAAAACAGCACACTGAAGATTAAACCTCTATTAAATATTTGACTAAAATCTAACACAATGCTATTTCCATAGCTTTATGCTGTACTTCATATATTAAGAAATATCTGCTATCTGAACCGAAGCTTACTTTTATCTTATACTAAGTTTATATCAATGAGCACATACAATGTGTGATCACCATCTCTCTAAAGGCTGTGCATCCCTTCAATCTTGGAGACTGTACCATTTGTCTTCAGAGTTTTGCCCTATCAGAGCTTTTGTATAAACGGAGTACATAACATTTGAAAACTGTGTATTACATATATGCCAATCTTTCTAGTCATTCACCATTTGGTGGACTTTACTGCTTTTCCCTGAAAATTTTTACTGATGCATCTATAAACTTCTTTATACATATTTATTGTTGTGAATATGCGTTTTTACTGTTCTTGAGTATGTATTGAAATTTGGGAATTTCTGAATAAAAAAGTAATAGTATTTGTACCATTCTTTAGGACCTGCCAAAACTCTTTTCCTGTGTTTCTGGATGATGATAATGAAGATGAGGATGATGATAATAATGATGATGATAATGATGATAATGATTATGATGATGATGAAATGATTACTATTATTATTTGATTTTTTAAAATTTATTTATTTATTTGTCTATTAAAAATTTCCACTTACTCCCCTCCTCCTCATACCCTTCCATTTCCCTCACTCCCTCTCCTCCTTCCCCTACTCCCTCTCCTCCTCCCTCTCCAGTCCTAAGAGCAGTCAGGGTTTCCTGCCCTACGGGAAGTTCAAGTTCCTCCCCTCTCCCTCCAGGTCTATGAAGGTGAGCATCCAAACAGACTAGGATCCCAAAAAGCCAGTACATGCACACAAAACAAGACCCAGTGCCATTGTCAATGGCTTCTCAGTCAGCCCCCATGTCAACCACATTCAGAGACTCCGGTTTGATCACATGTTCGTTCAGTCCCAGTCCAGCTGGCCTTGGTGAGTTCTCATTAGATCAGTCACCTTGTATAAGAGGGTGAACGCACCCCTCGCAGTCCTGATTTCCTTTATCATGTTCTCCCTCCTTCTGCTCCTCATTTGGACCTTGGGGGCTCAGTCTAGTGCTCCAATGTGGGTCTCCGTCTCTATCTCCTACTATTGTCAGATGAAGGTTCCCTCTGATCCTGCCTTTCTTGCTCATGTTATCCCTCCTGCTGCTTCTCATTTGGACCTAGGGAGTTAAGTCCAGTGTTGCAATATGTGTCTCTGTCTCTATCTCCATCCATCGCCAGATGAAGGTTCTACGGTGATACGCAAAATATTTATCAGTATGGTTATGGGCAAGGCCGTTTCAGGCACCCTCTCCTCTGCTGCCCAGGGAACAATCTGGGACTTCTCCTTGGGCCTGGGAACCCCTCCAGAATCAAGTCTCTTGAAAACCCTAAAATGGCTCCCTTAGTTGATATGTATATACTTCCTGCTCCCATATCCATCCTTCCTCCCTTCCGCCATCCCATTCCCCCAAGCCATCCCCAATCCTCCCCCTCTCCCTTCTCTCTAACCAACTCCACTTATTTCCACCCCCACCCCCCCGTGCACCCAAGTTTACCTGGAAATCTTGTCTATTTCCAATATATAGGAGGATAACTATATGATTTTCTTCAGGTTCACCTTCTTATTTAGTTTCTCTAGGATCACGAATTATAGGCTCAAAGACCTTTAACTATGGCTAGAATCCACTTATGAGTGAGTACACACCATATTCCTCTTTTTGGGTCTGGGTTACCTCACTCAGTAAAGCGTTTTCTGTTTTCATCCATTTGCATGCAAAATTCAAGATGTCATTGTTTTTTACCGCTGAGTAAAACTCTAATGTGTATATGTTCCACACCTTTTTTAACCATTCTTCTATTGAGGGGCACCTAGGTTGCTTCCATGTTCTGGCTATTACAAATACTACTGCTATGAACATAGTTGAACAAATACTTTTGTAGTATGATAGGACATCTCTTGGGTATATTCCCAAGAGTAGAATTGCTGAGTCCTGAGGGAGATTGGCTCCCAGTTTCCTGAGAAACCGCCACACTGATTTCCATAGTGGCTGTACAAGTTTGCATTCCCACCAACAATGGATGAGTGTTCCCCTCACTCCACATCCTCTCCAGCATAGACTATCATTGGTGTTTTTGAGTTTGGCTATTCTGACAGGTATAAGGTGGTATCTCAAACTTGTTTTGATTTGCATTTCCTGGATCGCTAAGGAGGTTGAGCATGACCTTAAATGCCTTTTGGCCATTCAAGTTCATCTGTTGTTAATTCTCTGTTCAGCTCAGTACCCCATTTTTTAATTGGGTTAATTAGAGTTTTAGTGTCTAGTTTCTTGATTTCTTTGTGTATTTTGGAGATCAGACCTTTGTCTGATGAGGGGTTGGTGAAGATCTTCTCCCAGTCAAAAGGTAGCCTTTTTGTCTTACTGACGGTGTCCTTCACTTTCCAGAAGCTTCTCAGTTTCAGGAGGTCCCATTTATTCATTGATTCTCTTATTGTCTGTGCTACTGGGGTTCTACTTAGGAAGTGGTCTCCTGTGCCTATGTCTTGTAGACTACTTCCCACTTTCTGTTCTATCAGGTTCAAAGTGGTCAGATTAGTGTTGATGTCTTTAGTCCATTTGGACTTGATTTTTGTGCATGGTGATAGATATGGATCTACTTTCATTCTTCTACAGGTTGACATCCAGTTATGCCAGCACCATTTGTTAAAGATGCTTTCCTTCTTCAATTGTATACCTTTATCTCCCTTGTCGAAAATCAGGTGTCCATAGGTTTGTGTGTTAATATCCCGGTCTTCTATTCGATTCCATAGGCCGACTTCTCTGTTGTTATGCCAATACCAAGCTGTTTTCAATACTGTCGCTCTGTAATAGAGTTTGAAGTCAGGGATGGTAATGCCTCCAGAAGTTCCTTTATTGTATAAGATTGTTTTGGCTATCCTGGGTTTTTTGCTTTGCCATATAAACTTGATTATTGTTCTCTCAAGGTCTGTGAAGATGTTTGATGGGGATTGTATTGAATCTATAGATTGCTTTAGGTAGAAGTGCCATTTTTACTATGTTGATTCTCCCAATCCAAGAGCAGGGGAGGTCTTTCCATTTTCTGGTATCCTCCTCATGTCTTTCTTCAAAGACTTAAAGCTCTTGTCAAATAGGTCTTTCACTTCCTTGGTTAGAGTTACCCCAAGATATTTTATGCTATTTGTGGCTATCGTGAAAGTTGATGTTTCTCTGATTTCCCTCTCTGCTTCTTTATCCTTTGTGTATAGTAGGGCAACCGATTTTTTGGAGTTGATCTTGTATCCTGCCACATTACTAAAGGTGTTTATCAACTGAAGGAGTTCTTTGGTAGAGTTTTTGTAGTCGCTTATGTACACAATCATATTGTCTGCAAATAACGAAAGTTTAACTTCAATCTTTCCCATTCGAATCCCCTTGATCCCCTTATGTTGTCTTATTGCTTTTGCTAGAACTTCAAGCACTATATTGAAGAGGTATGGAGAGAGTGGACAGCCTTGTCGTGTTCCTGGTTTTAGTGGAATGGCTTTGAGTTTCTCTCCATTCAATTTGATGTTAGCTGTCGGCTTGCTATATATTGCTTTTATTATATTTAGGTACGATCCTTGTATCCCCAGTCTCTCCAACACCTTTATCATAAAGGGATGTTGAATTTTGTCAAATGCTTTTTCAGCATCCAATGAAATGATCATTTGGTTTTTTTTTCTTTCAGCTTATTTATGTGATGGATTACATTGATAGATTCGTGTATGTTGAACCAACCTTGCATCTCTGGGATGAAGCCCACTTGATCACAATGGATAATTTTTCTATTGTGTTCTTGGATACAGTTTGCCAGTATTTTACTGAGAATTTTTGCATCAATTTTCATGAGTGAGATTGGCCTGTAATTCTCTTTCTTGGTTGTGTCTTTGTGTGGTTTTCGTATCAAGGTAACTGTAGCTTCATAAAAAGAGTTTGGCAATGACTCTTCTGTTTCTATATTGTGAAAT